GAATGCTTAGTTGTTGGAGCATATGAGTGAGTGGATGTCAGGGGTGGAGGAGAAAAACATAAACAGAGCGCAGGGCTTTCAAACGCGTGTATATTAACATCGACTCTTTTTGAACTCCCTGCATCACTCCTTCTCACTGGCGAAAAATTGAATTCGTCCAAAACATCGGCATTCGGACAATAACGAACATGCCCACTTTAGTCACAAACTCTGTCCTTTTAATAAATTCTTGTAATATCAAAATCAATCGTAATCCAAAACTATGAGTATGTTCTACTAAAACTCTTTTTCCAATCAAAATTACACTCAACTCCTAGCTAAGACACACCCCATTCCATCCACTAAACTTTACCTAAACCCTTAAACGCCTTATCATGAGCAAACCAACTTAACCACAACTCCAACCACTACCTGTTACCAAATCCTTTTAACATCCGTCCACTAATATGGGCGCAATTATAGTATCATATATGACCTAGTCCACTCCCTCAAAGCAAAGCAAACGCGTGCATAAAGCTACAATGGGCACAAAATCTCCTAATGTTTATTTCCTTTCTTTTTATTGAACTTTCTATACATAAATTTGATTTTACATAAGCATTCCCTGGATTCTAAGATCATTTCACATATGCTTTGAACAAATATAATATGATATATTTACGTCATCTACGTTGTTGGACTTCGATGGATCTACGTTATCGGTTAAACGATACACCGCCAGTACAAGTGGATTGCTGCAGTAGGAATTAATGTTGAGAAAACCAAAATCGTCCTGGTCGTTCGCCGTAGCGGTCGGTCCACTCGGTATTGCAACACAAGGGATCTTGCAGGTTTCTGGAGTAGCACCCACACATTTGTTGGGAATAACAAATTTTGCTGCAGGACGTCGAATTGCCGATCTGCTTATCATGGTTGCATTGTGTTCGTTGTTCATTTTTGTAAGTTTATTTTGGACTTGATAAAAACAAATTTTTTCTGATTAGTAATAAATATTACTTAGTGATATTTGATTCCACAGTTATACTGCAAAGGGCCATAATATTACAAAAATACACTATCTATAACAGTGGCGTATATAGGGAGGGGCCTAGTGGGCTACAGTCCCTCCCCCCGAAATGTTTTAAAAAACTTAAAAATTATTTTAAACGTATGTTATATTTTAATGGTGCTTTATGCTTATTAAGTATTTGCGTCCAACGTCAAATCGTTTTGGAACACTCTGTAAATGAAATATAGATAAGTACCTATTGTGTCTCGTTAGTAATTCTTAGATAGCAGTGGTAATTTAACTCTGTCCATAGTAGCTCCTCCCGAAAATATTTTCTGTATACGCCACTGCTTGGCAAGTATTCGAGCAAAGACTACAGTGTCCTAGAATAACATAATTTCGAAACTTTGCTGATCTTATAAAAAAGTCCTAACGTACTAAATACCAAACTTTTCGGTGGCCTATTTTAGATAAGAACAAATAGAAATATTCTTTTAACGTGGCTATTCACCGATAAAAACTCTGTTTACTATAACAATTTCGACGGTTACAAGGAAAAAGGGCATAAACGACATTTTCGTAATTTTATTTATAATTTAATTTTCGAAAACCGTTGCGGATGCAATTTTGACGTCACGTCGCGTAAGTACACCTGCGTCGTATGCCAACGCCGTCCCACGACCCTAGGGTGCGGTTAGATCGGTTCTGGGCACCGCGCGAACGACGAAGAAATCGGATCGAGACGCGCCCGCGCCGAGGCAGCGATGCTGTTCCGCCGCAACCGTGTCCACGAACTTGTCCCCAACCGCACCCGATCAAAATATTGACATTTTTTTCAGGCCAAAATTTAGCAGTCAATTAGCAACGATTTGCAAGACCATTTCACAATTCACAAGACTTTGGTTAGTTATTTAGCATCGTTTGTTAGCCGGCCGTACGCAAAATATTCTTCCGTCTGTTTTGGTCCCTGATCAAAACCAAATCGGTCGTGTTGGTTGGTACGTACATATATGGGATAAAAATATCACGTACCCGAAATCGACACGCGTTCCTGGTGGTGTCGTTGATTTTGAAACTAAATTTTGTACTCGCTTAGCACATTTAATAATGGCAATCTTCTTCGTTATTATTTTTTCACATTTTACGAGAACAAGTCAGGTGTAGCGTCAAATAATACATAAATAATATATTACATCGCGAACACACTGAGTTAACTAAGTAAAGATTTGTAAAAATGATCGCATTCAACTGAACAACATGTACTGCTCATTCTGTAGGTATGGCAAAAAATATTTCTAACAAGTCGAAAGAACAACGGATAGATCATGACCGCAAGAGAGTTCTCAGTTTTGAACATAAACCTACATATCCAGTCGTTATATTCCAATGGAGCGAGTTAATTCGGAACGTCAGGAATGACGGTGTACGACTGTACTCGTACATGTACAAAAAGTATTGTACCAGGACAGTCCAAATCTACCGATCATATCGGCGGAATAGGAATGTCTAACTACATTTAAATTTATATAATAATAATAATAATAATTGAGTAAAACGTATTAGCGTCACTGGATAATTATAAAATAGTTTGTTAGTGAGCTACTCGGTTATGTCCGTAGGCTCGGATATTGCAATCGGTTTGGTTAATTCCGTTGATTACAAGTCACGTTTAGAGTTCGCACTTTTGGAAATCAACGAGGAAGTTATTGATTCACACAATTATTATGTGAACTAATACACTATTTTTATTGAGTTGTTATTTAAACTATTAATACGCTTACAATTAATGAATATACTGTTGCTTAGCTGTTACGCGACTGACCCTCGATAACGGGTGGTCAGGCGTGTACGTATAATGCATAGTCAATATTTATCCCTACATACAGACTTAGGATACTAATAATAATAATAATATCATATAATATCATATGATGTACATAATAATAGTTATATAGACTAGATCGTTACAAAATAGTAATTTAGATGTAAACGATGAGTACCTTGATTTTCCACTGCCTAAAATTGCTTAAATTGCATTTATTTGTAACAATACACTACTATTATGCACTTTTTGTGTACGATAATATTGTAAAAAATCTTATTGAGTATTATCGAACAACGAATGATCATTGTAAAAAATTGGATTTCAACATGTAAAAACTAAAAAGCCACTGCCGTTTACATACTATATGGAAAAATGACGAGCGTTTTACAAGCTTAACAGAAAATTGAAAACAATAAGTCGAAGTTGCGCTAACTGAGAATCGATTAGTCATCGTGGAGTTTAATCCATCGTCTAGGTCACCGATGTAATGCGCTGTATACATCCTTATAAACTGTTCCACATTTATCTTTATCTATGGTCCCGCCATCCTGGTTACAGCTTAAGCCGCAGGACCAAATAAACTGAACTCAGCCCACTAAACGCACTTAATTCTTTATTCTATACATGCTGTACGGATTATTTTCCAACTATAGAATGTTTTGATATAGGTACCTACAGTGTATCTGGCCCGGAACAAAGTTATGTTGGCATGGCATTACTCGGACCGATAATATTTTATGAATGTATAATTAACCAAATACTAGGTTCTGTACAGCAAACGTTTGATGGATGTAAAAATGTATGTAGTTGGTCCCTTAATATATCACACAATTTCCGAATATGAGAGACCGATTAAAATCTTAATATTCTCTTCCCTATTCGGCGGTGCTGATATGCAGAGCCTGATTTAACCATTGTGTCGCTTTAAGCACTAAACAAATTGCCGCCTTTTTTGTGTTGTGAATGTTTTTCTAGTCTAATAAATTATATTAAAGCATACAATCAGTGTCGGTGCTAGGTATTGCGGGGCCCTGGACATAGGTATTAGCCTTTAGGTTCCCAGAGAAGAGCGAAATTCTAGCTTTTTTTTAATCAGGATTTTTAAAAAAAAAAAAAAATACTGTTTTTCTTCAAATTTTAAACAATAACTATAAAGATAATAAATATTTATATTATTATTTATTGTAGGAATACTACTCGACGGGTATCGTTAAAATATTACGCTTTCATCGTATTGATAACGATTTACTTTGTAGTTTGTACTATGGCTAAATTTAGACATCGTTTTCCAAATAACTGGTGATAGACATAATATAGATTTATAATTTGTTGATATAAAATGTAAATGTGTCTCACGGTATTAAGATGATTATTAAAAATCACGGGTCCTTTAACAAGCTTGGGGCCTTGGATAAATGTCCCATTTGTCCTCCCCTAGCGCCGGCACTGCATACAATTATAGTTGTTTCCTTTATTAAATTAAAATTAATTAAAATTTTAATGATGTAAAATAAAAATATACAGCTGTTATAATAATGCATTCATACATTCATATGAAAAATTTAATTATAAAAATATAATGATAAAAAACATGGTATTAAAAAAATGCTTAAACAGTTCATTTTTAAATTGTATTCAAAATTAAACAGTTAGTGCCTAGTACCCATTGGCTTTAATAAAATAAAACATTTTAAAATTAGTTGCATTTATTTTAGTTCTAGTTACATATAAAAAAAATGTAATATTAAAAATGATTTGCTGTCTAAACACTAGCTTATAGTCAGTGACGGATTTAACGGTCGTTTAGTCGGCGAATGCCGACGGGGCCTCTTCCTAAATTGTTTACTGAGGCCCAGAAAAATTATAGTTAATTTTTTTTAAATTTTACAAGAAAAAAAATATGGTTCAAACAAAGCCGTATCTAGAAATTTTTTTTTTTGGGGGGGGGTCCAAAACATGTATATTGTAATTTTATTGAATTTAGATTTTGATTATTGATATTTGATTAAAAATAAGACAGAAAAAGATTTAATCTTCTTTTAATAAAATATAATAAAATCAAATAAACAAAATTACTTTGACATCTTGTCACCTTACACTATACAAATATGAAATATAAAATTAAGAAATAAAAAATACACAAATACAAATCATATTATTTTAAACTAATAATATGTTCCTATCTTTTTGAAGAGCAAACTGGTTTAACTTTTCATCGGGATTAACTGTAACATCTCTATGGACACTTAATAGAACTAGTCCAGTTAGTGTTCTTGTCCCGTAGAGTTCCGTAAAAATGTCTTGACGCGTTTTAATGTCGAAAAAGTTCGTTCGGGAGTTGCTGTAGAAACCGGTAGTGTAGCTAGTACTTTTAATAAAAAATGAATATTTGGAAAAAGTTCAGGATTACAATAATTTAGTGCTTCTACAGCTGTATGTGGACGATCTACATCTTTGAAAGCAATCCATTTTCTTTTCCACAATTTTAGTTCTGAAGGTAATGTGTCAACATTTATAAAATCTAAATATATACTAAAATCTGATTCTAAAATTGGTGATTTCAAACACATTTTTGGTATTAATAAATACAAAGACGATAAAATCGTTTTGTGTTTGGAAAACCGTTCTTTAAGTTGACTAATAAAATCTTCATAGAATGGAATTGCAATTGCAATACGAAAATATTCTTCAGGAATTTTGGTACCCACATTTATTCTATGTTCGGAAGTTACCATCATTGTAAGTAGGTTCAGAATTGTCTAAAGAGAGAGGTCAGTAATCACTAGTACCGCGTAAAGCTATTTCTTGCCGCCCACAAATAATAATTGTTTGAATAATAGGAATTAACCTCTTTCTATTTTGATCAATTTGAATAGCACGCGCTGAATCTATTTTTTGAATAATATTTTGACAGTTTTTGGAATAAACAGCTACAAAATTATCTGCGCGCATTACATTAGATTTGTGAAATTCAGTTTCACTATGTTCATTAAATTTCTCAATCGCTTTTTTCCAGTTATTAAAAGGTTTTACAACTAATGTATTAAGTTTCTAGTGACTGCCTTTGCCACCAAATTCGCGACCAAATATAGCACAATATTTACAAACTGCACCTTGTTGACCAATTCTCGAATAAACAACCCAAGGAAAACGCTTAATCCATCCTAATTGAAACTTTAAATTTTTTTTTAGATTTTTAGTTATTGGAAATTTGTAATTTTCATCTGGTGACCAATGATCAGTTAATAATTTAAATTTTATTTCATCACATACATTTTTACCGAAACAGTAGCCAATATCGTTTTCTTCAACTATTTGCTCCGTGTCCGATTTTAATATACCTATTATTTTCGTTTGTTTGCAAATATGTGGGTGAATGACTACATGATGGCTCAGGCGTGTCTATTTGTGGTAGATGAATAGGAACATTATTTGTCTAAAATAAAATTTATGAATTAACATTTTGTTAGTTAAATTATTAATATACATAACATATGAAATAATATAACGTACCTTTGGAAGATTAGGAAAATAATTTGACAATACATTTTTGTTTTCTCGTTTACTCATTATGATGCATTTATAAAACGATTCGACGTATTTGTCACAGTCTTGCAGACGGCAAAATGATATAATATATAATAATATAGTTATAATTTACACAAATCTAATATTGTTGTTGTTAATCGTCGCTGATCCCCGACCGGCATCGACAGCGGTCGTTGTCCATCAATAATAAACAATCTATTATTAGCATAGACGTCAGATTTTTATGTAATACGCGCGTTGGTAATACCATTGATTATAGAATATTCTATAATCAATGGTAATACCAACTTGGTATAGAAGTCTGTGATTATTATTATTAGACGCTATATTTTCATATGATATTATGATATAAAACTAAAAACAGTCAATGATTAATTGGAGCTTAAGTCATTTGTGACTGATATTTTTATGTTGGTTTTAAAAATAAATAATTATTTTAAACATTTGTAAAATATTGAAGAAATTTGGGGGGATCCAGACACCCTGGACCCCCCCCCAGATACGGCCTTGAGTACAAATTGTAATATAATTTACAATTACCATTTTTTATTTATAACATAATAATTTAAATATACAGGAAATACTCAGGAATACTCCGATTACTTTAAAAATAGATCATTTTATTTATGAACAAAATAGAAAAGATAAAATATAGATATAGTTAGAAATACTGTTAACATTGATTATAGAATTCTATATAATTTTTGAGTATGTACACTATACGAGTATACAGGGCCGTTCCGAAGATGAAAATCAAGGGAAGGAGGGCGAATAATATGAAAAATGACGACTACAATTTTTTTATTCAATATATGTAGTATAATTAACTATATGTGGTCGTATTTTTACCTTTTAATATGTATATATGTGTCAGTGTTCTTAAAATTGACAATTTAATTATATGTATATATTAATATTTTATATTGTATAATAAGTAGTTATTGGTAGTCGATTGGTGTTTTTGTTAGGGGGTGAGACACCCCCCCAAGACACCCTCTTCGGGACGGCCCTGCGAGTATATGAGCAATGATTTATTATTAGTTTCGCTGCATCATGTTATTTCTAATAAATTATTTTTCATTTTCGTATCGCGGAAACGCGAGTATAGCGAGCAGCTTAGTAAATCGGGGCTAAGAATTTTAGTGATATATTTATTACGAGGCCCCTCTTTTAGATTTGCCGACTTAATTTTAAACTTTAAATCCGCCACTGCTTATAGTGTTTACTGGGAAATACGGCACTGTATAAATTCATTCCTCCCTAAAACTCTTCTTTTAGCCAATATTATTTCAATAACACTTGATATTTGTAATATGTCTCATCATTCTTTTAAAAATAATGTATAGTATGTACTTAACAATTTATGTAGATGAACTATCTGTTTAGACATCGATTTCTGTATTGTTTTTAAAATTTAAGTCATTTTTTTACGAACTACTTTTATTTTTATTGTACTTATTTATACTTTGGAAACGTAATCTATTAATATTATTTTGTTAATTATTTTATATAGTCTGTTATACATTTTTGTTATATTTATTATGTTAAAGGACATTTTTTCAGTTGAATTTAAAAAAAAATTAAAATATGCTGTATAAAAATTGATATTGATACCTATTTGTTTTTTTTATTCCTACAGTTATTATTAATATTATTGTTAAATTTAATTTATTGATTATGTATGTGGAAAAGAAAAAATTTTTTTATATCTTTTAATATAACTGAAATAATTGTAGATCCCCAGCATTTCCGTAGTAAGGACATTTTGCTGTACGTGCCTTTCAACCTCAGACATTTTTAAGCTTAATTATACAATAATATCTACTGAACATCAATAATATTAAGTAAAAATTATTTCTACTTAATCATTTATTAAATAACATTTTATCTACAATAAATTATTATTTTATTTAAACAGGTATCTACTTATAAATAATATTTTAACCCCATATTATTATAGTGTGCTAAATGGTTTAGGACGGAGGTTCCCAAACTTCTTATAATAGGACCCATTTTGGAAATTTTTTCAATTTTGACGACCCACAATAATATCAATGACTTTTTTTTTTGCTGATTTCATCAAGTTTATACTATGTAATTTAATTAGTAAGTATATAATTTTAATGTGAAGGATAAAATTGTTTCCTATTTTTCATAAATGCATTGATATCCATTTTTTTATTTTTATTGAAAAAAACTTATTGTAAGCTCATCATCAATTAATTTTATTTTTTTAACCGTCGACACAGATATTATTTCAGTTTTCGCTGAACTTTGAGTCATTGACTTTTTATTTAACCATTTGTCCATAGTAACTGTACAACGTTTTTTGAAAAAATAGTAAGATTTAAACTGCATGCATGTATTGTATTCAATGTACCATGTGTTACTGAAAATCATCAATTTATTTGAACGTGATACAGGTACTAATTTGTTTTAAATATATTGCTATATTTTCAATAATTATTAATCTGATTACGTCGTGTTGACACAATCAAGCACAGACATATAGAAATATTATTATGTCTATTGGTCGCAATAAATTTGTAATTGTCACAAACGCAGATAACAGTTTATGAAAAAACTAACAAAATAATTAAACATCAACCAAAAGTAATAGAAACACATGAAAAATATAATTGTGACCTACAGTTTGGGAACCTCAGGCTTAGGATATTCTCTCTACACCGCTGTGATACAACTATTTTTTGTAACAATAATTTTAATTATTAATACTTTATCAAAATCAAATAATTCATGGATACTCAGAATTTGTTTCAGTATGTAAAAATATACACTTTTGAAAAATTAATTTATTAGATAATAGAAGCATCCACCTAGAATTAAGTGCTTAAATGTGGAACTGATGTTCTGAAGTAAAAATTAGTTTTTAAAACCAATACTACATTGAAAATAATTTAAGTAAAATAATGATTTATTTTTACTATTATTTATTAAGTATCATAATTAGGTATGTCATTCACAATCCTTATGTAAATAAAAAATACTAATATAATAATTAAAAAAAATAATTCTGGTAATTTTAACCAATAAATAATTTTAGACATTATACAAATACTGTAAAAATAATATAAATTCACTTTTTTTCTTTTATAATAATAAAAATAATATATAAATATATATATAGATAATTTCTTAAAATTTCTTAAGATCACATTACATTTCAATTGATAATTAACTGTTTACATTTATGCATTTATTTTTTTTCGATACAAAATATATTTTAATAATTTTTTCTTTTTTCATCACAAGTTGCAATTAATAATAATTATTATAATTTATAATTAATCAGATGGTGTTATGGCGGGGACTTGGGTGGTTTGCTGTAAGTGTCCGTTTTCCCATTTTTTTTTGTGTTGATCTCCACCAAATCCTTCATCGTAATTGCCTTTGGATATGAATAGACGTTTGAAATGTGGCAAGCAGTATAGACGGTTGTTGTTCCATGTGAACGTATCCATTCTTTATAATATAAAACAATATGTAACAAGTCAAAAATTGAGTATTTTAACGATACCACCATAATATTATATTGAGTAACAAGTATTTATTTTCAAAAATTTATTGCAGTTACAATTATTTTGTACTTAATTTAAAAAGAAAATTTATAAATTTAAAAAATGTACTGGATAAAATTAGTGGAATTGGCATCTATTTACTTATCATTGTATAAACTTTCGAGAATTTGATGATTAACTCAGTCGAGAAGTTTATTTATCATAACTATAACTTTGAAACTTTTAGTTTGAAATATTTTATTGGATTATTAGGCACTGAATGAGTGTTGATAATTGGTTTTTTTTTTTTTTTTTAAATTGGTGCCAATTTTCTTAATAATTATAAGCAGAAAAGTGTGAGGAAAGTCAAGTGCGATCATAAAGGTTGTAAATACCGAATTGAATATTAACTCCAAGTTGCTACATATTCCTACTGAACTTATTATTATAATAATTCCCATGTTTAAATAGTTTGTTATTACTAAAATAAAGTAATATTAATAATGTGAATAATATAAAATACACTTGGCTGTTTATGAAAATAGCTGATATAGCATATAATAAGTTAAATTAATTAATGTATTTAACGGTAATGTAATAAATATAAAAACAGAAATATATTACTTAAAACCACTTTAGATACCGTATATTTATAAAAATCTCACTAACCGTAAGACACACTGGCACTGAGTGCACCTGAAGCATGCACGATGAAATGGTCTGCCTTCGATCTCAACTTTTTCTAAGGGGTAAACTTTTTTCTCACAGGATTCACAAAGTGTAGTTGCATGACTATCGGATTGTTGCTAAACGGAAAATAGACAAACTTATGTTAATATTTAATAACAATAACAATAAAGTATAACATAAGACAACAGTTATATAATAGCAAGATAATATTGTAGTAAGCCAAGAAATGATGAAGAGGAACAGACAAATATTTTGGCGTAGATGTAACAACAATGTATGTGTTACATCTGTATATTGACAGTCAAAATGCACATAAAGGAGTACAAGTGATTTCAACATGATTTTTGTGGTGAAAATACTCTTTTTGTTTCCAGCTGCCATACCACGGTGACAATTAAGAAAATAATATTACAAATATTAAAATATAATATAATATTGAACACATGTTGACAACATAGTACAATAATTTTTTTTTTATTAATATGTATATATTCAAATCACAATCATCAATGATATTATAATTATTACATTTAAAAATAGTTAAGTTTAAAATATATATTTGAGTATAGATGTAAAACAAAAACTCACAAGTATAATAACAATATGTTCTTATTCTAAATTAAAAAATGACAAACTAAAATTTAACCAGTCCAGAACAGTATTAGTGATTTATCATCTTTATCCATTTGCTTAAACACTTAAAATGGAAAAATTGCTATGTTTTATTTCACTTACTTATGGATATTGACATATGATACTGAAATTTATATAAAGAAAACTAAAAATGATACTTCAAAACAATACTACACTAATATTGTAGGTGTTTGAAGTTCAACAATCAAAATATAGCTAATTTTAAATAAAACAACAATGAGGTGACAAATATAAAATGTGTTTGGTAAATGTCAGTTTATCGAACAAAAATAAAGTGTTATTTTTTTTTAATCAATGAAGATGATTGCATGACCTTATTTACTAGAGAATACTTTGAATCATAAAAGATACTGATTTAAAAACGTTATTAACATTATTATTATTAAAAGAATAAAGTATAAAATGAAAAATCAAGCAAATATGTTAGACCATACACGTATATGTAATTTTCGAATAAGTTTTTATTTACACTATTGAAGTATACGGGTTGAATGGAGCTTCAGTTATTACTGAAACAAAAAAATAAAAACAAAAATTAATTATGAAGTGAATATATTATTTTAATAAATTGTAAGTACATATACTTAATGGCATATTTATGTACACCATAACTAACGTAATACTTTTTTGGTAATATTATTAGCATGACAAAATTTATTAGGAAACAATATCATAATTATAATCGGAGAAAAAAAAAACAAAAACATTGCTTTAAGTCACGACAAAACATTTTCTTTCATGTCAATGTGTTTCAATACTAAATTGCCATATATTTATCAAAAATTATAATGTAACATATACATTGATAACCTATCCACCAAAAATTAAAATTAACAATATGATTTGAAAATATGAAAAAATAAAAATGTTTTGCCGTAATAATGTTACATATTGTTATAAAGCTGAAAATTAGATTAGATTAATTTATTAAATAAAAATGAGAAATAAAATAAACATTTGTTAAATAAACTCACCTTGTTGACAATACGAATCTAGTATATTTGCACACGTCTTACAAAATCGTTGTTAATGAATATAAATAGTTTTGTAAGTTTTTCATTAGTATTAATGTTTTAATCACAATAAACGATCAAAAATGAATTATGAACTAAAAATTGTTAAACGCAATTTTTTCACAAGCGCGACGGCAGTTGATTAGGTAATTAATTTTATTTTTAATTTAACACAATAACAAAAAATATATTAAAAACAAAATTGTAACAATGTATATTAATAAGAAAACGTTTTAATATTTCGTTTTCTGTGACAACACAGTATTGTCGGTATTATTAGATGAGTATTTTAATCAATTATATTTATTATATATAATAAATTTGTACACGCACACTTAATCGAGTATCAGAGACGTATTGAGGATTATTTATGAGATGATATTAAATATTTGCTATAAATAATATTATGTTATTGCTACTATAATGTCATTAGCCTCATGCCATTAAAATATACATTTTAGAATTTAGACACTATTCAATATAAATATATTTTTTCTAAATAAAAAATAAATAATATATATAATATTTAAAAATAGAAATCTGAGGGTTATAGTATTACCATTCCTAAAATACGCAACTGCATGTGTTTGTATAAATTTATATTTTTAAATATATGTGTATAATATACAATGATGGGTCGAACTGTCGAACCGAACAGAACTATTTACCATTTAGGTAACATTTAGGTATGTTCGAAATTTGAACTTGAAAATATTCTTTATTAAACAATCTAAAATTAATTTTCTATACTTAATAGTCTATAATAAGTATCATAGTAGTATTAACTATTTTTTTTATACTGTTATGATGAGTTAAGATAAAATAAAATAATCCCATGTTGAAGCATGCGATTATTTTTGTTAACATCTATAGGTAATTATTTTTCATATAATGTGTGATATATATATACGATCAAAATCACAATTCTATTTTTGGAAAAGTGAAAAGGAAAAATATGTTTGTACACAATATTTTTAAAAATTTTATCAGAAATAATAGTATTAGATGTTAATAATTATTATAATGTATTATATATTTTAAGGTGTATTCAATTTTGCACAATGTAATTAAAATTTTCATAATTTCAATATATTTATAAAAGGAAAAATAATGAGTTCAAATTTTAGTTCAGTAAAAAATTTTAATAGTTCGGTTTGGGTTCGTAATACATCGACAATGTTCGGTTCGACACCGAAAAATCAGGTTCAACCCATCACTAATAATATATATATAACTGAATTGTTTGAAATGATACTATCGATTTTTATTAACAATGATAAATTTGTAAAATTAAATTATATTTTTTATTTAAGAAAGTTTCTTATCACAGAAAACGTAATTCTAAGCATCTGCATTGTGATTATACAATTAATACTATTAATACATTGAGTTATTATATTTTGAAATTGTTACTATTAAATAATTATTGTTTATTAGCAAATTCTTTGATTTAAAAATTAAATAATTATATCAAGAAAATTAATTCCTTAAAATAGATTAATAAACTCCATACATTGCATTGTCGAAATAAAAATAATCTTTTGAAATTTGTAAAATTTAAAAGTAAAATTATATTTAAACTAAAAATAAAATAATTCACAAATAAATAATTGTTTGAGATTCAAGTATTTACAGAGAAGATTTAAAAGTAAATTAAAATATATTGTTTTAAATATATATAATGTATACATAATGCATAAAAACATATATTAATAGTATGTCAAAAAAAACAAATTATTTATAATAGAGAATATATAAAGTGTATGTTAGTATAGTGACTCACTATATTATTTTACACAATGACTATTTACAATTTTAATTAAATAAAAGAGCTCAATTATAAATGACAAATAATAATTCTTCTTAGTAACTCAATTGTATATAAAAAACTTTTTTCAATGCTAACGCTAAGTGTCGAAGACCCGACGACATGTTACTGCTAAATTGTTTTTCAACAAATGCACATAAAAATTAACAAACATACATAATATAAACTTTTCGAAATTGCAAACAAGTGTTTGTAGTAATTAAATATAATAAAACTGCTAAATGGCAACAAATGTGGCAAAAAAAAAAAAAAAAAAAAAGAAAAGAGCAGTAAAAGTCTCTTTTTCTTCATTAAGGTTAATAAATAACATAAATCGAACCAACCAACAAACGATTACCACATCCACATAAAAAGGAATTCTAATATTCCTGGAACTTTTTATCATTTACCTAATATAATGTATTGTTTAAGAATAATATATTTTTCTATGTCGTCATGTCAGACGTTAGTAAAAAAAGTCCCAATAAATGTCTTTTTTTCGTCCGACTGTCGACATATTAGCGTTGGCCTACAAAACAAAAAAATAAGAAGAAAAAACAGACAGGCCAAACGGAAGAAGATTAATCAAAAGCGTTGAAACTATAAATAAGAAATTTAAAAATATTTACCAAGAATCGGTTCACTTTTGGTTTTGGTTTATCAGCTGGACGATCACCTTTTAATGATTCAAAACGAGCACGTAAAGATTTAGTTGATTCAATGCTTTCTTGTTCGGAGTCAAGCATTGTAATAGCATTATTCAGCGAATGCTTGTCTGGTTCCCAATGTTCAAATTTTTCTTTTAATGATTTTGCCATTACTGCATTTTGGGACTAAAATTCAGATAATTTGAATTATATAATATATAATTATATAATATATTAAAATAATTAATAAAATCATTTTAACTACTTTATATATTAATAATTCAAATTTTTTTTAATAGAATACAAACTTACATTTTTTAAAAACTCATCTTCAACTTTCACAGATGATTTCACAACATCATCATTACTTTCACTGCAAGAAGATTCTTCATTCTCACTGTCATCTTCACCACTGACCTCATCTTCAGATTCAGACTCTGTTTCTGATTCCTTATAGTCTGGTGGTGGAGTAAAACATTTTAGCGGTTTAGGACCGTCAGGTACAGTTGGTCTAGCTACTTCCATTTGTCTAAACAAGGATAACATCTTAGCAGTTGTGTTACTTTTGACTAATTCTGCCGTTTCATCAACTGGGTCTTCGTTGCGCACCACATTAGGATCACGATATATATCACGTTCTGGAGATTCTCCCTAATATAAAATAAATTATACACAGTTAATAATAATAATATAGATCAAATAGTTTGTAATTTTATACTGGCAGCAGATATTCTATGGTTATTAAAATAAATATTAACTATGAATAACAACATAACAAAATAATAAAACGAGATCAATTACACAAAGGAAGTATTATATTTGACATAAAGATACTATGATAACAAAAGAACTATACATTTATTCAGTATCATCAGACTAAATGTCATATATTCAATATTCTAAAATTTTTATTTAAAATTTTTATAATAGTATAATTCATAGATTTATGATCTATTTGTATTATTATGTATTATTATATTTTTTAGTAGAAACCATAAAAAAATTAATAATTAATATTGTATTACAGGCTCTTTAAATAGTATTATTAAAAATAATTATAAGTTTTAAGAATCAATCTACTAAGAAACAATATAATCTCAACTAGTAGTAGTTGTACAGGTTAAATTTTAAAATAATAACTACATTAACAACAGACATTTAAAATCATATCAAATTTATTTAGAATTTGAAATTTTAGTTTTTTCTGATTAATAACATTAATTGTTATTTGATGAAAACATAATAATTAAAAGCTTTAAAACTAATTTTATAGAGTTTATGTTAAATTTTAGTTTTTGTTGTATTTTTGAATTAATATGTGATACTTGAAATGATAGAATTGTACACAAAGAATACCTAAAATAAATTGTAGGAAATTAGTAAGTAAACACAAAAAAAATTATTATTATTTTCATTTTATTAGATTAGTTGGTAAAGAAATTCATTTATTTATAAATTACTTAATAGTAATATTATTAACAAATATACAAACAATTGCTAATTTAAAAATTCCAATTTTAATAAAATAATAATTAGTATACAGGTTAGGAATGGTTAGGATTAAAAGAACCCATTAGATAAGTATAATAGATAGGAAACCTTAATTTGGCCTTCTCGTGGGGGTGTAATTCTGAACTGTTTCTTAATGACCTCAGGAGGCTTGTATGTCTCAAAGAATTTAAACTTTGAAGAAACTTCAGCCGTTTCCACAGAAACGTCTTCGATGCGGTCACTGCATTTGACCACATCATCAGACACTTGGCGGTTGTATATTGACGTAACCTGTCATTTGTATACACATTCATATACATAAAGGCTTGAAAATATTGGTAATATTAAAAATTAAAGTCAATAAGTTTACAAATGAAGCTCTTAACATTTATTTTTGAGTTAAAAGTGAATAAATGGGGATTGATAAATTTAAAAATAATAAATAATGAAAATAAGAATGTAAATACGAAAAGAAATATATAAAAGATACTGAACAATTATTCTAATTACAGATTTTTTTTTTTTTTAAGTATTAATAAAACATTTAAAATTCTAAATATTCACTGAACAATTAGTTCAAGTTTTTTTTTTATCCGTTTTTATTATTTATGTAATATACTTTTAGAATATTTTTTGTCTCATATAATTAAAAATATATAGTTAAAAAAACCAATAAATTCCATTCTTAGGTCAGAATTAAAAACTAGAAATACATTTTAAAAACATAGTATATAAAGTTAAACTTAACTTAAATTATTTTTTGTAAAAATATAAATATTTATATTTATACTAAAACTACATTTCAATTTTATAAATTAGTTCAAATTTGTATTGCTAATCAGATTCATAATAAAATTATACTTAGAAAAATGTTTTATTCGATTAAATAGTAACTAACAAAAAGTAAAATATAAGCGAAACAATATTTAAACTTCCCATTATTCATATTATCATTCTACTAGAATAATTTAATTTAATGGAGAAATCAATAATTAAATATTAATATTGAGTGATGGTAATTAATAGTAGTAGGTTTATTAGTTAGTGAATCATGGAAGTTATAAGACAATAGATTGATAAACTTTTGACATTAATTTTGCCAAGCCACATCCGTTTGATTTTGTTTTCATATCTTTCTTTAGTATATGATCATAAAAAATACCATATATTATTTAAAATATTAGGATCAATTTAAATTGGTTATTTACCTGTTTTGTTGTAGGAATATATTCTTTCTTGGTATTCGTAATTGGTACAGCTTGTTTAGTCTTAGCTGCGTTTGCATCCAATTCCATGAATAGACTACGAGATTTTTTAGAAATTCCTAAAAGCAACAATATTAAATATAAAAATAAAAATAAGAATAAAGTGAATGTAAATTATCCAAACCTGCTTCGAAAACACTCATCTCATCTTCATCACCATTGGCCGAAACACTAGTATTATTTTCATCTAAATCACCATTTTCAGTATTCACTATTTCACCTTTTTCAAACTTCTCTTTGATGACTTTGGCTTTATCAGATTTGTTTATATTTAAATCTCGTTTTATACCAGTACGTTCACTTTCAGCTACAGCTTGTTCATACATTTGCTTCATTTTTCCTTGTTTTCCCTAAAATTATTAAAATAAAAACCATTCTATCAATTTAAATAAACAATTTAAATTTATTTTAATTGTTATTTAATAATTTATAAAAATACAAATTCATACGTAACATTGAATCTAATTTTAATCTTTGTTCTTCATGACAATAAAATTAATATAATAAAACAACTGTTCAATAAATTAGTCATAAACATAGTCATTCAACTATTTAGGGTCATCAAACTTTAATATCATTGTAAAATCAATATCAGACATTAAAATGGTAAATTCTAGTTTATTTCAAAAACTTACAGCAAATAATTTAGATCTGATGTTTTGTATTTCTTGTTTATGTTCTTCTTTCATTTCTTCTCGGCGCATTTCCCAATTACGTTTAACAGACTCCATCTTATCAAAACTCATAGGTTTCTCTTTAGAAATACTATTTTTTAATACATCATTTTCTGCATCATTATCTTCATCACTCTCGCTGTTTGATGAAGGCTCAAAGAATGCACCATTCAAATCCTCATTGGAAACACCAACATCCATTCCTTTAGATTGAAACCTATTAAAACAAGAATAGTTATCATTTTTTATAGAAAAAAAAAAATTAAAATATATAAAATACATACTTTGCCAATTTACTCAATATACTAGGTGAACGTTTAACACTGACTGGAGATTTTTCTAAGTTGCTATTACCATTGGTAGAAGCATTTTCAAAAGCTTGAAATCGTGATTTTACATTCAATGAGCCCAATTCTTCTAATCCTAAATCTGGTTTATCACTTGCTAAAATTATAAAATATTGATATTATAAAATATTCTTAATGTTAAATCTATGGTGTCATTTTTTTTTTTTACAATGTATATCAAAATTAAGTTGTTTAATTAAAAAAAAAAAAAAATCAATGGTTTAATTATACATCAATAAGGAAAAAGCATATAATTTACATTTATGAGGATTGCATTATTAGTAAAACATTTTAGTTTTTAGTTATTAACATATAATTAAAACGAAAATAACATATTGAGATTCACTTAATATTAAATGAACCAAGAAACTAAAAAATTAAACAGAAACAAATGTGAGAAATCATAAGGCAAAACACACATGTTACGATGGGTTTAAAATACTATCCATTATACCTCGAACCACATCTGGTGGTAATTCCATTGGTTGATTTTCACGTATTATCATTTCGGGTTTCTTGCGTCTAACTATGTTGATTCAAATGATTTTTTCAAACAAAATAATTACAAAAAGATATAATGTAAGATATAACTAATGACTTAAATTAAATTTGCACGGGAATCATTTTATCTGTATTTTTAAGTATTATTAATTTCTAAAAATTATAGGGTAAATGTAAGAAATAAATTAGATTTATTTATTGGTTATCATGATTTTTTATGAATACTTAAATTTATAACAATAGTTGCTTACTTGGTATCTCATCCTCAACAACTACTTTAGGTTTAAATAACTCTTTGAAATGAGGCTTACAGTATAATTTGCCTTCATGGCTACTATAAATATCAAGTCTGAAATCAAAAAACAAAAAATGAAGTATCGACTTATATGCTACTCTCAAAATGAAACATAATTTAATATCTAAAACTTACGTCAATTGCTTATTACATGTCATACACCGGAAACAGTTCTTATGCCAAACCTGACGTTCTGCTTTTATTTGTTCCATTGCATATACAGTCTTCGCACATGACTTACACACAGAATTAACTTCTGGACGTAAAACACCATTCTAAAAATTTAGTATAATTAGAATAAAAGAAATATTTTAAATATATACACACACAGAGCCACATTTAATCAGGAGCAAAGTCAAATTCTGGGTGGGGTGATTTATTATGCTTTAGTACTGTTATACTAGCATTAAAAGAACAATATATTTTTTATTTTCCCAAAATGCTGAGAAACAACATTAAAGTTTAATATAACACTGCATGTAAATAAAAATACAATAAATATGGAATTACATAATCATGTAATATTGTATTTTTGTAAGTAAAATAATAATAAAAATAAATAATAATAATATACTTGTTTTGCATCGCTTTTTTCAGATTCTGGAGATCTCTGTTGAAGAATTGATTTCTTTTCCAGTTGATCAAATTTTCCAAAACTTGATTTCTAAAATAAAACAATTATTTAAATATAAATACAAATAAATTTAATTAACACTAAGTAAAACATTAAAAGACTAACAAAATACCATGAACCTTTAAAATAAATAAAAAGGAACACTGAGATGGAATAAAAAATAATTGATGATAATGAAGAGACTTGTCATAAAAAACAAAACAAAATATTATATGAGTTTAAACCTAAATGATAATTATGGAAAAAATTCTATATTATTTATTAATAGAAAATGTTGTTTGCTATTGTATTTTATCATAGCTGCTTAATAAATGATACATGTAAAATGTAAAGAAACAAAGTATATTATATATATATATATATATATATATATATATATATATATATATATAAAGAAGAAAAAGCAAATATTAAATACACAAAAATATAACTAATTGATATCCGAAATTTAAATTTAAAAAATTTTAATAGTTGTGAATCAAAAATAAAAATGACTGCGAATAATTTAACTTGTAAATAAATTAATTATTCTGAATAAATAAATTAAATAAATAGGGAATATAATATCCGATTTTCGTGTAACAAAATTATGATAAAAATATAATTTTCATAAAAAAAGCAAATAATTATAATAACAATAATTTATATAATATTAATAATAATGATGACAAAAATAATAATAGTAAATATTATACTAAATAAATTTTCAGCACCCATAATATGGCTACATCAAGTTATGTTAGATTTTATTTTAAATTAAATACAAAAATGTTACTAAAGCAGTAAGACCCTATTTGCGGGTAAATAACATATCGATATCGAGTGCTTAACCAGTTAGATAAGCCCCTCGTAGATAAAAATATTATTTATGATTTTTGGTTTTGACATTTTTGATAGCAGATAATATAACAATAAAAAAAAATAAAAAAACATACTGGTTTCAATATACAATAAAATTAGAATTTTAAATTATCCACAAATCATTTAAAAAATTAAAATGATGAATAAAAATAATCTAGAATAATCAAATGAAAAATAAATGAATATAAAATTTATATATATATATATATATATATTTTTATTTTTATATATTTAATATATACAATAATATATTTTTATTATAATAATCAATCGAATTATTTTTTATTCGACCAATGTCCAACTCTGGTTCTCACTTGATTTTTTTTCATGATAAATCAAGCAACAAAAACAAAAAGTCCTAAAAGAGGCTAAAATGTAACCCTAATATTTCCGAATAATAATTATACATACATATTTAAACTAACTTTAATTAATTGTCAAATATTTTAAAATCAAGTCCAGGAAGATTAAAAATATGCCGTGAAATGAATAGCTGATGGTTAAATAATATTTAGAAACAAAATAAATAACATTTTCTGGCATAGTTGAGAATCTAAAATTACTTTCAGCATCCCTTCAAATACACTGTGCAAGTATTTATGTATTTATTAATCAATATAATTTATAAGAATATCTAATAATACATAACAGGTTTTATACTCTTATTATACATATATATTTAAAGTAAAATTCAAAGATTATTTTGGTACATATTTATAATTAATACCTCAACTAATATTTGTTTGGATATAATTGTAATTTTTTCATATATACTAACACAAATACAAATGCTTACAAAGGGAAAATATTTTATTAGCCGTCTACTGTATACAATTTATAATTAAAATCTGACCCATATTAGTATTTACTGTCATATTAATGTTTAAAGGTAATCTAATAATAGCATACCTCGACTCAAAGTGATTACCAAAATAATAACAACATACAACCCAAATACAGTGAATCAAGATTCAAGATACATAATTTATTAATAATATAAATAATAGTTAAAACAGTTCAAGAAGCCCATAACTTACCGAACAACCGTTTATCATTCCGTTTTCAAATCCGGATGGTTGTTTCTTAGTTGCATCAACGAAATTTCGCTTCTTTACAAAACAAATAGCAAACAAACACGCATTCAACATTTATATAAATGCAATAAAGACATAAAGAAGCAAGTACATACACGATAAGCAACTAATCGATTCGTTTTGAGAACAAGGAGGAAGAGAAAATAACTAACACTTTTACTTACCAATTCATTAATGGGAATAGAAGCAGGTACAGGCTCTTCTGGTATTACAGAGGATGATTTTCGGTTAGCTTCGTCACAATAAGATTTTTTCTACCAAAGCACACATAAATAAAAACAAACATAACTCAAGCAAACTAACAAAAATGTCAATAATTCTAATATAATATGAGTATTTATAATATTGCTATATAACATGCAAACAAAATATATTCAATTTTAATTAATAAATTATATTTTTACTGTACACCAATGAGTTTGAAAACTTCAGACTTTTTTCATTATACATCTTTTATTAAACAGTTTTATTATACCCTAAATATGTAAAATGTTAATTAGAAACTTTATCTAGTAATTAACAATTAAATACCATATTAAAAATAAAATATAAATAAAGGTACCATCACCTAATTTGTATAGATATATATTTTGTATTACTCATTATAATAACATATACTTCATAAACATAAACTACAAAATATATGGGAAGTAAAATATTTAAAGAAAACTAGTATTTTAGAACATTTATGTGGTCTCAACATTGTTCTTCTTAAATAAATTCATTATATACCAACAGTAAATTTTTCTCAGCAAAAACAAGAATCGCCAATTGTTTACAATACACACTTTGCAATTAATATTTAAAAAATTACCCATAAACAAGCTTACTTTTGAAAATGTAATACTATTTTACTTAAGCTTTAAATTTGTTTTTTGTAAACCGTTTTAAATTTAACAAAAACTATATTTAACCAACATTTAAATATAAATTTCATTATTAAATTAAATTGTAGATATAATATTAATTTAATTTAATTTGTTTTTAAAATGTTTGTTAAATTTTTAACTTTTAGTTAAATAAAATAATTATATAGAGCTATCACTAACACATTTTCCCCTTTAAATCCTTGTTGTCATAACAATTAATCTTATCAAGTTCAAAAATCCTACATCCAATATAATTTCATTATCTTGGTATTTACATTTATTTATATTATTTATACTAATTTTAACATTTAAAATTTAATCAAACTTAAACAAAATATTTTAAAAAATATGTGTCATATTGTATGATTATATCGACATTAAAAATGTACGATGGGTAATTTAACAATTGTATGATACATATAGGATTATTAATTGTCATTGATTAGGCTATAATATTGAATATTTTAATTTGTATAACATTACCATATTTAACATTTTATAAAACGTATCAATAAATCAGAAATTAATAAATTATAATTTAATAGTTAACATCATTATTTATAAACATTTAAATTAAATAATTTAAAAAATTCGGAACTGTTTTTAAATGAACTTTCTCTACTTTTTCTAAATTAAACCTTAAATACTGATAATTAGTAAGTCTGGAGCGATACTAAATTAATACATATTATACACCAACGTTTTCTAAAAATTATCATAACCGAAAAAGAAACCTTCTTTTTTTTCAAGTCTAATAGCTTCTAATAGTTGAAGTAAAAATGTATAAAATATACATGATTCATAGAACCAAAATATTACGTTGGAAGGAATGTAAACTATTAATCATGATTTTAAGTGACTCATACAATTTACTACTTAAACTTACTAGGATGGTTTTTATTTTATTTATTATTCTAAAAAATGTTGATGACACAACAGTATAACATAATGTATTCTCAATATAGGAATCTTGCTCTAAAGTAGAACGAACCTTATGAGGTAATGAATCAAGATTAAAAGATGTAATTGGATATAATGCTGTTAAATTTAAGTGGAGATGGATAAATACAATTTAGAACTAATTAGTTTATTCAACCAAATAAATAATTCAAAAACAATATGAACAAATGATGAAATATTTACAGAAAGAGCATGCATTATTAGAGTATTTTACACTATTTTTATATTATCTTAGAATATAAGTTTTGATAAAATTAAAAATCGTAAAAACAATTTGTTATTGAAAGTAAAACCAAATAAATTTAATTTATATAATCCACTGAACTGATAGTTATTAATTTAGTATTAATAAATAATATAATCAATACTAAAATATATAAAATAAAACGTTTGAGATATAAATTATTATTTCATTTAATGTATTTGATAAACAAATTTTTAACGGTTTTAATGTATGCTGTGAACGTATTTATAAAATAATATATAATACAAATTGTAAAATAATATTTTAAAAATTTCTTTACTTATTTTTTGTAGTTAAACCTTCTATAGATGTGAATTATTTGAACTTATTGTGTAGAATATTTTACATACCGAATACAAATTTGTTTTTTATATTAACAGTAATTTCTACAAAAACATAACTCAAACCCCTTTTTCATACACTCACACACACACACACACACACACACACACACACACACACACACACAC